GTTCTATGATATCAGGAACTATATTTTATGCTTCTTTTATATCCACAAAGAATCTCACGAAGTAGATAATTTCAGTAAATACTTAGGAAGTGATATTTTGGTATTTGTGAGATACCATATCACTGACTCCTTTAATGTTTTAGATTCACAGGGAGTAGTAGAACTGTAGGGATTGAAAACTTCTCCTTAATAGAGTAATACATAGAAAGTAAGAGCTATTTCTTATAAAGTACTTTTCATTAATACTACTCTGAGTTCAATTTCATATTACAGGAAAAAACTAGTATTTATGAAATGTTATTAATTGTAACAGGAAGCATTTTTTTTTTTTTTAAAACAGAGTTCATATAATTAGAACATGTTTAAAATAGACTGAACTATTAAACAAGTTGAACTTGCTTTTCCATTATGGTATAATGGTTAAGAGTTCACACTTGGAACACACCACTTGGATTTCAATCCTAGCTCTCCTATTTTCTGTCTATACCCTGGACACACTACTTAACCTCTTTGTGCCTTTGTTCTCTCATCTGTAAAATGGAAATAATAATAATGTCTTCTCATAAAGTCATGATAATTAAAGATGTTCATTCATGTAAAGATCTAAAAATACTGCCTAGCAATAATAAGCAGTTAGTAAATATAAGTTGTTAACATTAATATCTGTTTCTTGTTAGATGCTATTGAAATTATAAAAATTGAGAGCCAAATGAAAAGTTGATGGTTTTCCCCCCATATTTCATATAACTATGTTGTAAAATACTGTTTTATACTTTGTTAAGCATTTATTGAGACTGTATCATGTGCCAGGCATTATGCTGAGTCCTGTGTAATACAGTAGGAAATAAAACAGAAGATACTTCCTGCCCTCATGATGCTTAGAATGTGTGGGAAAGGTAGGCATTAGTAATGTCTAAAACTGGGCTTTACCATGGGCCAGACCCTTTGTTAAACCTACTACAAAAGTTTTCATATTTAATTCTAACACATATCCTACAGGTTAGATATAAACATTATTCATATTTTATATATGAGGCTAAGAGAATTTAATTAACTTTCTCAAGATTATACAGCTACTAATTAAAATCTAGATAGTCTAATACTAAAGCTCCAGCCCTTATTTAAGTATTCTGCTGGATTATAAATCAACATATAGTACTAATAAATTGTGATTATTAGAGTCTGTAGGGTACTGATTAATCTTAGTCTGTCTTTTACTTAATAGATACAGAAGTAAAATAGAGATAAAAATATGTACTTTATTATTGGCATAGAGAATGCCTTCTAATGGCTTGGATGGGCAGCTCAAGTAGACTTCTTATTTTTTCCCTACTGAATTGAACTTGCACACTAAAGTCACAAGTAGGTCAGCTAGAAACTTGATGGCATTCCTTGCTCTAGGAAGAGATTTCAGTGACAGATATAAGCTTTGGGAGTTTTCAATATATAGATGGCATTTAGTTTAAAGTTGGGGTATGGATGAGGTCATCTAGAAGGAGAATGTGGGAGAGAGAAGAGAAGAGGGCCCAGCACCATGCCTGGAAGGACTCCAACATACAGAGCTTGAGTAGAGGAACCACATGCAGTAGAAACAGAGATGTAGCTGCCGTAGAAGTCATAGAAAACCAGTAGAGTGTGCTGATGTGGACTCTAAGATGGAGAATGTTTAGAGAAAGGGAAAATGGTAACTGGAAAAGTGGTAACCATGTCAGTTGCTAATCCAGAAAAGTAGCCATTGGATTTGATAACAGGTCATTAATGACCCCAAGAAGAGCAGTGGAGTAGATTGAGGAAAGAATGGGAGCCGAGAAAATATTGTGTGCTTTCTCAAACCTTAAGATGTATATGAATTACCTGGAGATCTTGTCAAAATGTAGATTTTACTAGGGCTCGCGTTCATGTATTTCTAAAGAGCTCCTGGATAATAACAATGCTGCTGGTCCATAGAATAGCAGAGGTATTGATTAGTGGTTCTCAAACTCCAATGTGTTTTAGAATTATGTGGGGGGCTTGATAAATTACAGATTACTAGACCCACTTCAGAGTTTCTGATTCAGGCGGCCTGGGGTGGCAGCTGAGAATTTGCATTTCTTATAAGTTCCCAGGTGATACCAAGTCTGCTGGTCTAGGAACTGTACTTTGAGACCCACTGGAGAATTTTAACTGAGGGAGAGTTGTCAAGGGAAATTTTGTTTGTTGAAGATGGGAAATGACTAGAGCATATTTATGCTGATGAGAATGATCCCTTAGATAGGGAGAAAATGGTGTGATAGAAGAGAAAGGGAACAAAGGGGTTAAGTCTTTGTAAAGATAAGAGAGGTTGGCTCTGAAGCATATATTGAAGTCTTGGGTTTTTGTAAGACTTATAGCAAGAGAGAAAGCAGAGAAGATGGGTCCAGTGCAGATGGGTTTATAGATTTAGTAGTGGTAGGCACATGTAACTTCTCTTTGATGGTTTCTATTTTCTCAATGAAGGCAAGGGCAACTCCTGAGAAAGGAGGATGAACTGAGGTTTAAGGAGAGAGATGGTATTAAATGATGACTTTGAGTAGGAAAATGAACTTACTAAGAAAAAAGTGGCAGCATTGACCGCCTTATTTGAGGTTAAGCTCAGAAATTAAGAATGAAACTAATCTATATGATTGTGCATTCTTTTTTCTTCAACTACAGTTAGTTTTTGGATTCAGACATGGAGAATTAAATAGTGAAGATCACCCAAGTTTAGACTTTATCTAGGTGAGTATATCAAAGAGACAGAGAGGAAGAAAAACTTCGAAGGAGAGAGGGTGAGGGAAAGTAGAGAGGAAGGGAGGGAATGGGGGAGGCGAGAGAGACAGACTGAGACAGACAAAAGAGCTTAGGTACAAGAGAGAGGTACAAGGGCGCTTAGACTACTATCTAAGCCAGGCAAGAAGCGAAATGAAGACCAAAGAGGGTTAAAGGATAAAAATAAGCAATGATGAGAAGGTCAATGAATTATCGTAGTCAGGGAATAAATAAACTAGAATTAACTAAAATACGTAGGAGGTTGATGATGAAAAACGAGTGCTGGCATTCAAAATTTAGTAGGCAGGACAGTTATTGGTGGTGATAGAGGTGCAGGGTGTGACCATGGAGGCAGCTGGATGAGGTGGAGTTTCCTGGAGAGGTCAGGAAACTGAGAGACCAGGATGTCGAATGTGCTCTCCACCTGGATGAAGTTGCCAAGAATGATGACACGTTGGGAGTGGAGAGAGACTTTGAGATAGGAACTAACTTTGCGACAATTGATGGAAAATTCCGGGTCAGTGGGTAACAGAGGCAGAGAGAGAGGTGACTGTGAGCAGGGACTTTTATTTATACAAAGGGAGGGATGGTCTGGAAGTGGTAATGCTTGGCAAGGCGGACATCCACCCCACCTGCTAGCCATGAGGTGCCTGGGATATGAGAGAGAATGCCCTCAAATGGCAGGGCTATAAGAAGTACAGTTTCCTTTCAATTAAAGCAAAGAAATGGAGGGAAGGTTCAGAAAAAGGATTGAAGGTTTATAAGAATTTATCACAAATTGAGAGTTGAAGAACAAGGATTTGGGAGTGAAGGTAGGGAATTTCAGGAGTA